CTTAAAATGCTCAGCATCTTTAATAGAGTATAAAATATTAAGAGGTATTTTATTTGTTGTGTATTTAGAGGATCTTCACTGATGTCCTTCATGTTCTTCATTTTATGAAGATTTCTTCTCTGTTCGATCCTCTCCAGAGGTTCTAGAGCCGCTCCTTTATTTCATTGGCTCCATCCAGACCTCCATCTCTCTGTCCTCCTCCTGCTTGAAGCCTGTCCTCTTCTTCATCTCTGATATTATTCTGCTGGATTTCTCCATCTGCCTCCTTGCTTTCTTTTGCCTTGTATACTCAGTAATTCCCCGTCTCCCTTCCTGAAGGCTCTTTCTTCTTCTTTATCGCTTCCATTAGATCCCTGGTCATGCAGGGTTTATAATTAGGGAAGCATCCCACTGTTCTGGTGGGGATAGTTATATCTACACAGAAGACAGAGTCCCAATCTGTAGACTCTAACCACCTTAGAGGGCTTTGTAACTTCTGCAAGCATTCATTTATAAGTGTTTTTCGCCTCTTCGGCTTCTACTTATACTCTAAGCAGAAAAAAATGATTGTAGTCCAGTTTTCATCTTACTTTAGAGATATACGAGTCTTTGAATATTTGCTTAAAGCAGGTCTAAAGTTTTGTTTCCTCTGGTGGAGCAGTCCAAACAATCTGCTGCCCCACTGCTTTACAAACCAAATGGGATTAAAACCAGTTCCAGAAAAAGGAAATGTTTGTTTGGAGTGAATCCATCCTGTTGCCCTCATAGTTTTCATCAATGGAAGTGTGAATAAAAAATGTATTATAACTGATGTGAAATATTGGCTGTAATTTGAAGCTTGCATAAAGAGATGGGGGGTGGAGTCATCTCTTTATCTCCAGTTTACACAAAGGGATTTCAGGTGATATCCAAATTACTTATAGCTTCACTTAGTCGTAAATAAGCGGCGCCACGATGTTTTTCAGACTCTCAGGATGTTTATGGCCACTCTTGATCCCCCCCCCCACCCCATTGCCTTTTTCCTTCTGACTGGTTCCGTCTTTATTCTTTATCTGTCACCACTACCTGCCATCAGCAACAACATGCTCGTCTGTTTACCGCCAGACTGAGAAAAGTTCCTGTAGTTTTGTTGGAAAACCACAGTAATGCATTGATTCCTTCCAGTATTGCAGACACTGAGCTGGTAGGGCTCAGGTTTAGTGATTTTTACTGACAGTATGAAGATTAAATACGGGGAATTCAGACTGTAGATCTGATCAAGCTGAAAAATCAGTTCATCTCTTATGTCCCAATATTGAAATTTAAACAGTCCTCACTCTGCCCTGTTTGAAACGGGACATAAAACCATTAAAAACAAAACCAGTACGTCAGAAAAAAACATGAATATTTTTCATCTGGATCTGTTTAAATGTTTAAACATTGAAAGAACAGCAATGACGCCAACTTTGTGTCTGGGTTCGCAGACGAGACGATGATCATCAACGTGTTCTGTGGGGTCGTATCCGGAGTGATGTCCTCCATGTTGGCCAACCCCACCGACGTCCTCAAGGTGATTGTTGGCGCTAACCTTAGCAACATGTCCCTGTTTGATGACACATAAAAGCTGTTCTTTGTTGGTTAGTTGGCGTGACATGTTAACTTTTAGGTTGTATTCAGGTAAATAATGTCAGTATGTAGTAACTACCGTGTTTTCCAGACTATAGAGCGCATCGCTCTGTAAACCACACCCTCTACGTTTTTTTTTTATTGGAAAAGTACATATAAACACCGCTACGGGCTATAAGCCGCTGACATCTACTGAACTGTTTCCCAGTGTCTTTACCCGATCTGTCCTGGAAGCGCGATCCGTCCTGGAAGCGCGATCCGTCCTGGAAGCGGGATCCGTCCTGGAAGCACGATCCGTCCAGGAAGCACGATCCGTCCTGGAAGCGCTATCCGTCCTGGAAGCGCTATCCGTCCTGGAAGCGCGATCCGTCCTGGAAGCGCGATCCGTCCTGGAAGCGCGATCCGTCCTGGAAGCGCCATCCGTCCTGGAAGNGACTATTTTCCCTTAAAATGCTCAGCATCTTTAATAGAGTATAAAATATTAAGAGATTTTTTATTTGTTGCAACAAATGAAATAGATCTAAAAACTTCAACACTGCAAAAAAATGTAAAAATAATTTACGTGTATTTAGTCTTAATTTAGGCAGGTAAAATAAGATAATTAGAAAATATGCACTTCAAATAATACAATGGAATTGTTTTTTTCTTATTTTAAATGTAAATTTTCTTGTTCCATTGGCAAAGTGTCTCACTTACCTCCTTAATTCAAAAACAAAAATACTTATTTTAAGAGAAAATGACTTATTTAGATTTCCATTTTTCCAGTGAACCTCCTTTCTGTGGATGAAAAAGCAAAACTTGTCTTGTATTTTATGGCATTGCTGTTGAGTTATTTTAGATGAGAAACTTTTAGGATATTTGTAAAAGTTGAGTTTGAGATTAAGACATTAGATGAGATTCTGCTTCGCTGAATAGAAATAAATGTCTCAACAATTAGTCAGCATTAATTCACTTTTATTACAAAATGGAGGAAACTAAAAGGAGCTTTGTCATGTTAAAGTATATAACATTTTATAAATGTGCATGCCAGTAGCTCTCTGATTGCAGACGAAGGTTTTGTCCCACGTCCTGCTGCTGTGTCATTTTTCAATTATGTAGTTTTTGCACATTTTGTTAGTGAATAAAGCCTCTCATATATATTTTAAAAAAAAGGAGGTTAATTTTTGCTGGTGGTAAACAAAGAAATACTGGCCTGCTAAACCCAAACGAATCTAAAATAGACTATTGATCCCTAAAGGAAAATAAATGTGGCGGCGGTGACGCGTTGGTTTGGATGTTATAGATGCAGACGGCTGCAGAGAGGAAGGATCTTCTGTTGCAGCGGATCTAGAGATGTTATTATTTAAAGTCTTCTGAGGAGGATGTTCACTGATGTCCTTCATGTTCTTCATTTTATGAAGATTTCTTCTCTGTTCGATCCTCTCC